TATAAGAAAAAATGTTTAAGCAAAACCATCCGATAAAATGACTGTGACTGACAGAATATACCAATCTGCACACATAGACCACCACCTCTTTTGGAAGGAGGTATATTCCAACATCATCTCTCCTGAACAAAGACTGATTATTTCATTTGATCTATTACTCATGAAGTTGGTAACAAACAAACAAACAAACAAACAGAAACCCCACTAACACCCCAAAGAGACATCAATACAAGCAGTCACACCCTGGGGGAGGGGCGTGGGGTAGAGGCATTCTCACCCCTCCCTTTTAGGAGCCAATTTTTAGCCAGTCAGTTAGTTAGTTAGTTATTCATTCTTATTTACTTTCAATAAGAATTCTTAATTGTACTCTAAAATATGTACTCCAAAAATTGTACTCCAAATTCTTTAGTAGATAAGGCTCACTATGCTTGCCAATGTTTAAATCCTTAAATATTTAACTTCCTACCATTAAAAAAAAAATTAACTGTGTCAGAGTCCCAGTGGGGGGAAAATATTATACCAATGTAACAAAAATAACAAAAGGAAAAAATTTCATTCCAAAACCTTTCTTCTTCATTGTTAAACTACAGGAAAGATATCAAGGGCTCAGTTCTAGCAATTCGGCTATTCTTTCTAAATGCATTCCTTCAGTGACTTTCACCATTCCAATGGTGTTCATAGCTCCAGTCTATTCCCCTTACTCGTACTCAGGTTGACTATATCCAACTCCATATAGATTCATCTAGATACTCAGGTGGCATTGTGAACTCTTCAGTGTGGGCACTTCCTCTAGGATAGAATCCCAGTCTAGGTGATTTGTATCAATGTCCTTCCACAAAACCTCTACAGATTATGTACCCAATGCTCTGTAAGCTTTCTCCTGGTTCTCTTAATTATCTCAATGGTACTCATGTATAATGATAAAAATAGCTTGCATTTACATAATTCTTTGAGATTTGTAAAGCACTTTATACATGTCTCATTTGATCCCCACAACAACCATGGGAGGTGGGTGTTATTATGTTCTTATTTTATGGATAAGGAAACTTAACCTGCAAAAAGTTAAACTGTTTTCAGAGGATCATACAGGTAGTGCCTGAGGTGGTATTAGAACCTAAGAATTCCTGACTCTATCCATCATGGGAAAACTGTCAAACTCAAATAGAATTGGATCCTTGCGGGGATTAGAGAACTACAAATTAACATTATACTGTATTGTATTTTCATTTATTTTGTTAAACATTTCTCAACTAGGGCAAGCCACAAGTTTGACACCTCTGCATTACAGAATACTGTCTTTTTTGTTGTCCATTGATAAGATGTTTCCTTTTCAATACTTAACAAAACCACCTCCTTTTCTAATCATATGTGTGGTCATACATATATATATACATATCTATATCTATATATCTATATACTAGGTATTTCTTACACCAATTCTTGTGATCAAGACCACTAAGATATATGTAACTGTGTGTATTTATGTATGTGTATATATGCATATATATTACACTACAACCTGCTATCATTTGCCATATGTGTTGCCACTGTTTCTGTGTCATACATAATTCTGATTCTTCTGAGACTGAGATTCTCTATGACTTAAAATCATATTATATTATTTTTGTTATTGTTCAGTCATTTTTAGTTATGTCCAACTCTCAGTAACCCCATTTCTTGACAGAGATACTGGAGGGGTTTGCCATTTTCTTTTCCAGCTCATTTTAGAGATGAGGAAACTAAAGCAAACAAGGTTAAGTGACTTGCCCAGGGTCACACAGCTAGTAAGTGTCCGAGGCCAGATTTGAACTCAGAAAAATTAGTCTTCCTGACTCCAGGCCCAGCGCTCTATACACTGTGCTGCCTAGCTGTCCTATCACATTATAAGGAAAATGTTAAGAAATGAGCTTTTATAACAAGGGGTAGCTTAGGACCATTAAAAATGCCTACAATCTGGCCCTATCTTCTCCTATGCAATTCTGGGCCCAACTCACCATCCATCTTCAATCCTTATCCATTTTATGTATTTATGTACACATTCACTCATAATCAAGGGCTTGAGCATCTATCCATTCATTTGGACAATATACATTTGACATCACCCTTTTTTTTTTCTCCTATGAGAATGGCCTGATCAATCTCTTTGAAATAATTATGTATATCACTAAGGAGGCTTTGTAGTGGTCAGGTGTTTGGGATTTGATGCCATTGTGCTGTGGGATCTGATGACATTCATTTGTTATCATTGGCAAAAAAGAACACTTGAAAAAACCTTGCCATCCACGGGGAATCCTTTATGTCATAAATCAATGCCCTGGGTGAACATATGTCTCTGTTTTATGTTTTACTGATATTAACAGTCATTGAGTTGTTGAACAAAGTCATCTCCATGTTTGTTTTTGTCATAAAATCTTGCACTATTTTAACATGTATATATATATGCAAGAAATATGCAGCAAGAAACCTCATTTAAAAATAGTCTTTAAAAACTGTATTTTCTTTCATGAAATAAAATGTTTTTTAAACATTTTTAGACAACGTGGAATTTTCTCTTTTCATTCAGGTAATGATGTGACTAGAATGATATGACAGTCTGCTTTATAGGAAATAGGAAGTCTACAAAACCCTCCATGTTCCCTTGTCCTATTTACATCAAAGATATTCTTCTTACAATCATAGGTTATCCTTATAAAGGATTTTATAGAGATGAGAGAATAGACTCATAGGCTGGTATTTGCTGATATTCCCATCCTTTGGATTTTCCTTTCTTGAGATAACTTGAAAATCAATTCCTGAGTGTATTTAAAATTATGTTGCCTCTTCTTTATGTAGCGGAAAATATGTTTGGCTAAGTATCACTAATCTCCTCAGTTTTATGGTTTTGTTTTTTTTGTCATTGCTACTCACTTGTACAATCTATTGAGAGTTAGGAGTTCACAAAAGGTGACTCTACTATCATATTCATCAAAAACAAATTATGGAGAACAGACAAATAGATGTGAAATGGAATGGACCTACTGGCATTTCCATAATTTGTTCATTCATGTTCATGCTCTCCTTTACTGCTTTTTCACCATTTCTGTGAAACCTCCATCTTCCTGCCCAGTGTTTTAGAAACAAGTTTATACTCAGAATTGGGAGTTTTAAACTTGGAGTCCATGAACTGTTTTAAAATATTTTGATAACTATATTTCTATGTAATTGGTTTCCTTGGTCATCTTTATTTTATTCATTGATAAGCACTATCCTGAGAAAGAGCTTTGCCAGACTGACGGAGGTCTATGACTCAAAAAGATTAATAACTCTTGTTCTAATCCATATGGTCCTTGCCTGCCATGTCTGTCTACTTGGCAAGGAGATCAAATGTCTATTGACTGATACATCGTCTGGTTTATTTCAACCTTCCTACTGTTCAACAAATTGCACTAGCTACATTTTAAAAGAAATGGTGAAAGCAAAACATAGCTTTTATTTTTGTTTATTTCTCATCTTTTGTAGCCAAACTATATGCAAACAGTCTTGGGTCAAGAAGTCATAGATTATAACTTCTTTTCTACATCCTCTGCAATCCTAGTTGGTTTCTTTTCATTATAGTATTGTTCAGTTTGCCACAATGGTTTCTGTTCTGGTCTAAACCATTCCTGTGGTGTGGAGCATCAGAATATAGATTGTTTGTTTTTGTTTCTTGACTACAAACTATATTTTATAATAGTTTTTAGAGTACTGTGACCATTCTTGAAGTATTAAAGCACTTAGTTTAAAGACCTTTGAAGAATTTCTCTCCTGCTTTTTCATTCTCTTCAATGGATATTGGCATATAAACTTATATTGGCATATAAACATATAAATTTGTCTTCATGATGGACAATTTGCTTATCCTCTTTGTAAGCATCAAAAAGCAAGACATCTGGGGGTAGCGAGGCGGTACAGTGGATAGATCACTGGCCCTGGAGTCAGGAGGACCTGAGCTCAAATCTGGCCTCAGACACTTGACACTTACTAGCCGTGTGACCCTGAGGTAAGTCACTTAACTCCATTGCCTAGCAAAAAAAAAAAACCCAAAAATCAAAAAAGCAAGACATCCAAATATCTTATGAAATGATGCTTCTTGATGCCTTAGCACAAAGAATCAACTCTACCAATTCCATTATGCACACATTTCCAAGGAGAAACTATGAGTCATCCTTCCATTTACATGCAACATTTTTGGTGGGATGTCTTCTGGTTTCATTTATACCAAGAACTGTCATTGGGATACAATTCAGTTACTCACAAAATATGTCACCTCACTAGGTGATGGACACGAGATTGCATGAGAAGAGTTCCAAGAGATGAATTTATATTGGTAAATGGTCAAAGAATTATATTATTCTTAGTACCCTCTAATCCTAGTTGTGCCAGTCTCATTATTTAATAATATTATTATCTCTTTAATTTCATGCACATTCTCACCTCCTGATTAGATTATCCTCTCATTCCTTCTATTTATTTAAATTCTACCCATTGATGTGTTAAGATACATACAATCTCAACCTCCTCTAAGAAGCTTTTCTTGACCTTTCATGCCCACACTAATCTCTCCATCCTCTCATGCTGAATTGCTCTTACAGATCAGTATTATACACTTTGGCACTTAATAGCTTAACTATTTTGAATTTGTAAATTGTACTTAATTCTTAGTTTTGTTTCTCCAACTACCACTTTAAGCTCCTTAAGTATGAGGTGTATGGTCTTATATTTCATTTGTCTTTTGTGTCTTCTACACTAGGGAGCATTATGTCAGATATTTAGAAGGTAGTCAACAAATACCTGCTGATTAACTGAGCTTGAACAAGCATGTCTTAAAAATAAAACAGAAAAACAGTCACAAAAACAAACCTCACAACTATCACAACTGCACAAACTGATAGGTGATCATGAAAAAAGCTTTGTTTGCAAATCCAAAGCTATGACCTTCATAAGAAACTACTTGCTAACTTAAGTATTCTTTTCAATTATAGGTACAGATTATGACCCTGACAATGCTGGAGAATCAATCATAGATATCAAGACCTTTCGAGGTGCCCCCAAGAGTTCCTATGAAAAATTTCCTGATTTTGTTATAGAAGGGTGGACTACGACTATTCCAACTAAAGAGAAGTGTGCTATGGATAAATCAAGTGTTGTTACCCTCCGTGTAAACAATAACACCATAGGCTATCTGACGAGCTCCCTAAGCACCAAGCTGATACCTGCCATATACATAGTGGTGTTCTCAGTGGGTGTGTCAGCCAACACAGCAACCCTATGGATGCTTTACTTCCAGGTCAAGTCCATCTCAATGAATATCTTCTACATTAACTTGGCTGTGGCAGATCTCCTCTTTTGTGTCACACTTCCCTTTAAGATAGCCTACCATCTCTATGGAAATAACTGGCTCTTTGGAGAAGCCATGTGCCGTATGACCACCGCTGTTTTCTATGGCAACATGTATTGTACCACTCTGCTCCTTGCCTGCATCAGCATCAGCCGTTACCTGGCCATCGTTCACCCTTTCACCTACCGTGGGCTCCCAAAGCGCACTTACGCAATGCTCGCTTGTGGCGTGGTGTGGGCCACTCTTTTCTTATACATGGTGCCACTCTTCATAACAAAGCAAGTGTATTACCTGGACCAACTTGGGATCTATACCTGTCATGATGTACATAACACCTGTGAGATGATGTCACCCTTCCATCTCTACTACTTCATCTCTCTGGCCTTTGTTGGATTTGTAATTCCACTTGTTGTCATTATCTTCTGTTACACATCCATCATCCGGACACTTAAGGCCTATGATCAGAAATGGTTCTGGTATATTAAAGTGAGTCTCCTCATCCTAGTGATTTTTGCGATCTGTTTCACGCCAAGCAATGTATTACTTATTACTCATCATGTGAACTACTACAACAACCACATAGATGACTTATATTTTCCCTATCTCATAGCACTGTGCCTGGGCAGCTTAAACAGTTGTCTAGATCCATTCCTTTACTTCCTAATGTCCAAAATCACAGATCGGTCCAGTGCCTACCTGACGATCATCAAGACACCTTAGGGACCAGTAAGGAAAGATAACATCTATGTGTATGTGATACTGAGATATGTATTTCTAAGAAGTTTTGTTCTATGTATTGATATAAAGATATGTAAGGCTGCAGTTTCTGTATTCCACATACATACAACTCTGGCAAAAGCTAGCATTTTGTTAGACATATGCTTTCAGTATGTACCTGAAGTCCACTAGTGCAATGATGATATTTGAAGGAAAATCTACAGCCAACTTTGCATCAATAATAAAATCCATATGCATGTGAGAAGTAAAAAGATTCAGTTAGTTGATGATAAAGTGAATAATTATTGGTATTGGGAAGGATAGACTCATTATTATAAAAGTATGTTTTTGGTGTTCCTTCAGAGGGGCTAAAGCTGACAAAAAAAGCCCTTCCAGTCTGTCCTATTCATACAAATTCACCTTATTTTTTAAAAAACTGCATTTTTCCAATCTTCTATATGGTGTTCTGAATAAATGATCTTAGCTTGTTTCAAATACAAAAAAAAAATTCTATGGAGATTAACACGGAGTCCTATATACACAGATTGCAGGAATTTCATTGTGGGAAGAAGAGAAAAATATTAGATCTGATATGGTAGCTCATTTAGGTCCATAAAGAAAGGGTTTAAAAAAAATATCAGGATCAATAAAAATTATCAGGCTATAATATAGGTTAAATTAGATATTGGCTTAATTGGCAAATACTCTCTCCTAGTTAGAATGACAGACTCTTAGAATTAAAAAAAAAAACAACTTCATAGACAAGTTAGTTCAACCCATACCAAAATTTTAAAAATCCCGTTCAATAGTATTTCCAACAAGTTGTCATCCAAGCTTTGACAAAAGATTTCCAGTGAAAGGCAACTTACTACATTCTACCTTGAGATCACTGTAATTGTTAGGAAGTTTTCTTTTCAGTATTTTTTTTTAAATGGGGAAACTATTTTTGTGAGAAAATTTCAAATAAATATTTCTTACAGATATGATATATAGCTGCAAGTTGAGCCATAAATAGTAAACCTGGGCATTGGGGGATGGATACTAGGACAAGTAAATATAAAGAGGCTAAGACAAATTTTGCATCACTAAAGATGTTTGAAAGTAATAAGAAACATGTAATAACACTCAATATGTATTATATAACCAAGGATAAAGTAACTTTTAACTTGTATATATTTGGGAACCTATAAGTTATTTTTGATTTTTACATATGTATTTCATTAGATTCTTGTGAAGGATTTGAATAAAGATATCTACACATATAAGTCATTTACAGAAATGAAAAAAAAAAGGTAAAAGATTGCCCTTGCATAAGTAAGCAAAACCATATGAACACTATTGGGAGGAAAGCAGTTTGCACCTAGAGTCCCAGTGTACTCTGAACTTCTTTATGACAGTAGAGCTGAGACTGGATTTGAAGTCAGTTCAAATCCAGCATTCTGATCCAGAATGCTGACAGAACCACATTCTCCATTACGCCACATAGTTGCCTCTATAGAAAGGTATAGTTTATGATACCATCTTCCACTTATATCCATATCAGAAGCAACACAGCCTGTTTTTACATCAGAATTTTAGAAAGTTAGAACATAAGACCCTTCAGGGTGAGGATCGGTTTGTTTTCGCCTTTGATTCCTCAGCACCTAGTACAGGACCTTGTCTACAGAAGGCACTGAAAGGATGCTTACTGAATTTCGTTTTCTTTGGTCCAATGTGATTATAAAAGGTTGGGGGGAGGGGAGCCTCCACCTCACTACGCCATGTCATTGGTGTAGCAGAGCCAAGCAAACACTGCCAAGTCAGCAGGCTCAATCAATTTGATCAAGGCTGGAAGAGTATGATGAGCAAAAGACCCAGAAGTCATGGTGAAAGAGAAAGGGATGGGTGGTAGAGAGTGTGGGAAAAACGGCTTTAATTCAGGAAGGAATTTCACAGAATCCGAGAATCATGCAATTCTAGAACTTCAAGGATCTTGTTCAGGCCCTCTACTTGACCCCATGGACACTGCCCGTGGGGCTCTTTCTTGACAAAGATACTACAGTGGTTTGCTATTTCCTTCTCCGATGTGTTCCCATTTTACAGATGAGGAACTGAAGCAAATACAGGTTAAATGACTTGCCCAGGGTCACATAGCTAGTAAGTGTCCAAGGCCACATTTGAATTCAGATCTTCCTGACTCCAGGATCTTACAAAACATCTATTCTGACCCTAATATTTTAGAGATTTAATTAACTAGAGTTCTCCTAAAGAGGTTGCTGTACTTTGTATGCTTACTCTCTTATGTTAGTTTCTCTGGACAGCCGCTTAAGGACATAAATAAAGCAATTTCACTGGACCACATGCAGAAAGTAAAAAAACATATGGTCTGCTGGTTCCTTAGACAGGGAGGGGTGGAGTTGGAGATTAACAAAATGTCAGAGTGGGTCAGTGACAGACCAAAGACTTAAGTCTTCTATTGTTCAAGCCAGGTCTCTATTCTCATATTCCTCTTCCCTTAGGGCCTCTGAACATTACAGTGCCCTAAATCAACCAGACCTGACATTTTCTGAGAGCCTAACAGAACCGGGCACAACCACACAGCTCTGACAGTCTGAGATATAGCCTTGAAAATGTTTGAGGCTGGCAAAATGGGGGAAGAGGTAGGCCAGAAAAAGAGTGTTAGCCCCACCAATGCTATCTGCCCCCTACCCCAAACCAGCTCAGGAAGGAGATAAAGAGGCAAGCAGGAAGAGATAAGACAAGAGAGAATCATTCTCTCACTGGCCTCCCCCTCTTACTTCTTTCTCTCGCTGTGAATGATTTTCCCAAAGTCTTAGACAGGATGCTGCTTTCCCCTTTCTATCCATGGGCAATGGTCCCAGAATTCCCTGGATGGAGAAAGTTTCTGCTCTCTGGTGAGGCTACTTGTCACTTCCCTGCTCTAAATTCCCTGTCCAAATCCCAGGAGGAACAAAAATCATAAAAAGTTTTCAAATTTCCATATGTGGCTCAGTGAATCTGCTTTAGTAGAGTTCTTTGGATAATTCCACAGTCAAGTATGAAATGCAAGGTGGAACATATTAAACATCTTTCTCCTGCAACCCTGGATCATTCCAGAGCAGATCCTGTATCTAGGGCCTAGGAGGTGTGGTATAGGTCAAAACAAGTCTGGGTGGCCAATTGTTATTTGCTAAGAATCTTCTTCAGGTGCCTTTTGCTAGATTAAAAGACTTCCCTTTCTTTTCCCTTTTTTTTTTTTTTTTCTTTTTGGTGAGGCAATTGGGGTTGTGACCAGCTAGTAAGTATCAGGTGTCTGAGGCCAGATTTGAACTCAGGTCCTCCTGGCTCCAAGGTGGGAGCTCTATTCACTGTGCCACCTAGCTGCCCCGATTCATTGTTTTTTTGCACATTCTGAAGAATTCCTTAGGAAAGTATTTTATAGGACCATAGGATCATGACTAGAAAGAACCCTAGAAATAGTTAAATCCAACCTTTTAATTCATGACACAAATAGCTTAAGTAGTTTGCCTAAGGTCAAATAACCAGTAAGGATGTGAGGAAAGATTTGAACTGAGGACTCCAAGTCCATGCTGCCTCAGACTGGAACTCTCTGGAAGGGTCCTGGAATCCCTGCTTCTAACAGTTCTCGGTATCTCTGGAGTTGGATTGATCTCAGAGAAGACTCCTCGAGCAGCTGTAAGCCACTGAGACTATGTGCTCTCTGCTCACCTTGCTTCAACCTCTTATACTCTCCAAGGCTTAATGAGTATGAATCACGGGCATGGCATGGCAAATAACCACCCACTAGCACAGGTACTGGGGCTTTGAGGCTCCTTATAGGTGCACCACTGACCTGGGATATTGGTACACTTGGTTCACATGCTCAAAAATTCACTAAACCCTTGGGCAACCTTTGAGGCCATGGGGAAAAAGCAAGGAAATACTTTTAGATTTTGTACAAGCTATTCCCCCTGTCCAGAATATTCCCCTTCTAAGTCATAGAACCAAACCTTGACAATCTTTCAATGACTAGCTCAAATCCTCTATTTTCCATGAATGAGAAAGCCTAAACCTAGGGTTAACATTTTTGGGCATCATGTGACTCTTCCCTTTTTTGGCGATATGATGAAGCTTACAGATCTTTTTGCAAAATAATGTTTTTAAATAATTGAAGGAAATGCTAAATTTCAGTTAGAGGTTAGTGAAAAAAAGATGCTTTTTTTTTTTTTGCCCCATCCAATTTCATGGAATTGTTGAATCCATGGACTCCTTGGAAGTCTATGGTACTCAAGTTAAGAATCCCAGGCTTGTCTTTGACTTTGTAAATCAACATTACACATATTTTGGCACAGAAAAAGTATGGGGCAAATGTGAAATTTAAATTATATATGTCTTATCTACTCACAGTGAAATGCCAAGAATCTTATGAACAAAAATATTGCTTTCCTACCTCCTGCCCAATACCTGCCCTTCTTTTCTCCCCACCCTGAGCCAAGTACACTGCTAAGAAAAAGCATGGAGTTATCAGTCAATAACTGTTGAATGGAATTAGGAATGAACTAGTTCAGTATGATTGAGTCTGAGCACTGCTTCAACAGACCTACTGAGGGAGCCCACAATAAAAGAAAAGAAAGGACATAGCATATGTTAAGAAAAAGTTTTCTGGCTTTTTTCCAAAGGGCAACATTGCACACATAAGCAGCATGAGACACTTTGAACCTACCTTCCTTTTTTCTGATTTGGTATTAAACAGAATATCTTGATAGTGATAAGCATTGTCTGGGTTCACATTTCTCAATTTGGCAGCCGGTAACAACAGTGATTCCAGAGTTTTCTCAGGATTTTTCTCATCGATTGCTTTATTAATGAGCTCAATGGCAACATCTCCTAAAAAAGAGGAAGGAAGATGGTTCTACTGAGAAAATGTTAGTTTTCTTTAAAAATCACAGTATATTAGATGTTTAAATATTGAAAATTCCATTCCAAAAAGAGGAAAAAATGAAATTACACATCTATAGGAATGACAATTATTTTAAAATGAATATTCATTCCTTGAATATTACACAATCAAGGGCTGGAGAACTTAGGCCTTGGAAAGGACCTTTGAGATTGAGCCAAATCCATCCATTTTACATTGCAGAGAACTGAGACAATGAGGTTAAGAGGAGAATCCTGGTTTCCTGATACTGCCTAGTAAACTTTCACTTCATTTGACTCAATAAAAAGAAACAAACTGGGGGATATAGAAAAAGAACTAATACCTAACAAAAGGACTTTCCAGGTAAAGAACCAATTAAAACATTTGGGAATAGCCTCATATTAGAAATAAAATTAATTTGCTTTTCAAAAATATTACTATAACAAATGCTGGAAATTACATATCCATCCTCAATCACTGTAGAGACCTAATGGTTTATACCAAAGAATAAATTGGTATATTATGACCACTTCTGAGATTCTCTTCTATCTCACTGATCTGCATTCCAAGACTTATGATTACAGTGAGACAGAAAGCAAACAATGGACAACCCAACAGCATGAGAACTTTTGTTTCTTTTTATACCATATTCTGAGAAAAATCTAGTATTATGCACACGAATTGGGAGACAGCAAATTATTCCCAGGTTAAGGCTCATAGCCAACAACTTGGTACTAAATACTGCTAATTTATGGTATATATTTTTAGAAAAGAGGAAGTATCTCTAGTCTCTTTTAAAACAAAAAATGAAAACCACTTTACAAATATGAAGTGCCACAAAACAACCTAATTACTCTCAAATTTGTTTAAAGTGCTGCCCTCAAGATAAGCTTAAAAAAAAAA